AATTTTTTTTTGCATTTGAATAAATAACTTTCATGTGGATAAAGGCAAAGAAAAGGAAGCTTGTCTATATTACATTATCCTTAGAAGGAAATTTGATTCAAAGAATATGAGCAAATTGTAATTACTCTGGACTAACTTTCAGGGGTTAGAAATGTTTTTATTATACTGATTTGAGATGTTACCCAGACTTGTAGATTCTCATAAGAATGTTTCCTGCCATTGTCACACCAGTTCTTACTAGTACTACTACTAGTGTAGGCAATCTGAACATCTAGTGGCACGATCAAGAAAAAGAAATCAAAGGGATCATCAGCAAGTTGCTGAGTGTAACCGATCACACACACTTTCTAATGAGTTGACCGCCAGACTGAATTCTGACCAGAAAATGTGCATTCAAGTCCAGGTAGACTCAGACTATGGCAGACTTGAAAATAACCATCTATTCTCTAAACTAGTCTTACCTTGTTCCAGACCCAAATACCCAAGGCATAGAAAGGTTTTATGGGTGTGGACTATTATGAGACATAAGATTCTCTCCACCACATTCTTTTTTCCCAGCTAACCACTGAGCAGCCTGAAATGTTACAGATCCAGAATCAGTGGTCTTCCTGGGGGGACATAAAAAGAGACCCAGAGCCAACTCCGGAGATGCCATGGAGCTATTTATAAGTGTAAAATCTTCTCATTACCCTCTTCCCCATGCTAAGCCCCTCATCATCTGGTTGACCTGAATCTAAGAGTAGTGAGTCTCCCAGCTGATGGGTGACTCATCATGTCATTTAAGTTTGTCAGTCAATGGAAACCAGAGCTTCAAAGTCCCTCTCCAGGACTATCCCTGGGGAAGCTATTAGGGAGAAGGCAGCCTTGCCAGATGTCTCAGTCCAGCTGGCCTAACTGGCATGTGTAGGGGCATCTGCTTATACTCAGGGCCTGGCATGAGGTGAGAGCCCTGGAAGAGTACTCTAGAAGCTTTGCTCTCAGTTTTCCTACCATCAGCTACTAACAAAGCCACAAGGAAACCAATTAGTACCTTGAAACATAAACAGGTAAAAAGACATTTAACTCTCCCATTTAAACTGGGAATGGGTTCACTCTGGGCCTAGTAGGCTGAACATCATGTAGTGGAAAGCACATTGCATTTGGGGAACAGAAAACGGATTCCCATCCCAAGCTGAACTTAGTTATATGAACTTAAATTTTTCAATAACCTCTCTCACACTCAGTGTCTTCATCTGTAAAATGGAAACAGACAAAGCTGGTTTTGTTCTGCCTAGCCCTTGGGTAGCAATAAAGCATAAGAAAGCAATTTGTGAACCAGAAAGAAAATATCAGGTAAGTTTTTTTGTTTCTTACCCTCAAATGTTTATTTCTCATCACAAGCCTCTCCCCTAAGTTCCGAGCACACATTTCCACCTATCTATTCCATAGGACACTCCAAATGGCTAATAGGTGTGTTAGACAACCACCCAGCCCTTCAGGCCACCAGATGATGCCCAGCATGACCAGAGACCTTGCCAAGCTGCCCCCTAGCTGCGGAAGCCTCCTCCACTGTGCTAAACACTACTTTATAGGAAACTTCCAACAAATTATTTATCTGGACCTCAAACTGATTTTATCAAATAGCAATATATGCTCTTTCTCCAAAAGCTTGCTCTCCCTGCCTTCCCTTTTCTGTCAGTGATGATAATCTTCATGGGTGTATAGGCTTAATGCAGAGACCTCATCTTTGACATTTCTCTCCATGTCTCCCCCCTTCCCTTTCACATCCCATTAAACACCATTTTTCTTTTCCTTCTTGCATTTTGAAGTCTCACAGAGCCAGGGTTAAAACTAAGATCAGTCATATGAACTTAAGGAACTTTCCTCACCAGACTGACACTTGCTATCCTTATCTATGAAATGAGAATATGGAAGTTGCAGATTTGTTGTGAGGATTAAATAAGATTGTGTTGAACACTACATCAAAAACTAATGATGTACTCTATGTTGGCTAATTGAACATAAAACAAAAAAGATGGCGTGCCAAATGCATAGCACATGTTAGCTAAATTCTACCTTCTAGCTAAACTGGATGCCTCAGTGATGTCCAATATCATCCAGCCTCTCCACAAACCTACCTCCACATCTTCAGCCCTGCTGTTCACTTTGCCTGGACTATCCTCTCCCTCTTTCCCATTTCTGTCCACCATTCTTATATGCCTGCTTCTCAGACCATCTTTCAAACGCTATGTATATTTGGCATCTGGGAGTGACACCTACTTCCTTTGAACCATAAATGATTCTTGGGATTTATTTCTACAACTCACGAGACACTTGACATCACGGCTGTGTGCTCTGCTTTGGTACATGTCATCTCTTCTTATAATCATTCATGTATATTTTCTCTACACATGCCATTTACTTAACAAATCACTTCTAAGTGTCTGAAAGGAATGATCAATCAATTAACAGATCATGATGTCTGCACCTGGCATGGGCAAATGGAAAGTAATTTGGAAGTGATGGCTGATTTAAACAAAGAATAAGACACCAAAGACACTTCACATTTTCTGTGCTGATTTTTTAATGAACATCTTATAATCTTACAAAATAACTGGCTGTAGCTGCTTTACATTACAATACAGTAGATCAGCTCCTTTCACTGTGTTCCCAGTCAAGCCATCCCCTTGGGGTGCTAACTGATGCACTTAATAGTGATCTTACAGAGGAGAGGAAGTGCCAAGTCCAATGCCTTGCAATGGAGGCAAGGAAAGGAGAGAATCAAGAATAACTCTTCACTTTCACATACAGGTTTGCCTGCTGCCATTCTCCTTACTCTGTTCTCTCATCTCTCTGGTTGGAGACTGTCACACTAACCATTAGAGTCAGCTAGTCCTGGGCAACCTGGACAACCAGAGCCCCTGGTTACTAGGGAAAAAAAAGAAGCAGAGAAGTGACTTTTGGAACAAAGAAGGGCCTGTGGGAGAGGTCCTCCATGACCCCATGGATGGGTAAGAGCAGCCAAATACAGACCACCACATAGAGTGAGTGGGAGTTGATATCTCCTGGGAATCTGTGACCACGGTGTCTCTGTCCTTCCACTTTATTAGTGACATGAGAGCTCAACACCCTGGGCCCCAGGGACACAGGCTAGAAGAGCCTGCCATCTCTGAATGGCCAGAGCTGATGAGGGCCAGGAAGCCTTCAGCCAGAAGGGCTTTCCACACACCACAGAAACTGCCCTCTTGCCTTTTCAGGGCAGAAGTGGATTGCAGATGTTGCCAATGGAGAATAAAATATTTGTAAATGAAGTATGACAGAGAAATGTTCTCACTGTTCCTTCTGTGAAGAGACTGAGCACAGACCCACACTGGTGTGAACCACAGGCTTGCAGCCTTGTGGAGGAGCTGTAGCCTTCCTGAGCTGGGCGATGCCCAAGATACCTATTCTGCTGCCTCAGTCTCAGACAAGCAGGATTCCCTGACAAAGAGCTTGATGCACTTCCAAGAATTTGGATACTCTCCCCAAGAAAACAATTTTACAACTTTGTAAAAAAAAAATGGAGGATCTAAACTTTTTCCACTGTCCTTTCCATATTGAAGCCTACTACAATCCTAGAAATATTTATTCTCTTTTTGGGGTACTAAATGTGAACCCAGACAATGAGAAGTAGGTATCTAGGTTTCCCTTATGGCTAGAAACATAGAGGTTTTTTGGATGGGCAATCTCTGCTACTTCCTTTCCCCAGTGATGGTGCCACCCTCATTTTATATCCCTAGAGATAAATATGTGTATACCCCTTTCTTTTTTTCCCATTCCAGAATATTGTTCTTTCCTCAAGATAGCAGTGGGGAATATTTCCTCTTCCTATTTGCAAAGCCATTGCTTCAGTGTTGGTGGGAAGAGTCGAAAACTTGTGGTCAGAGCCAAAGAGCAGATGATTCAGAGAGACCAAGGTTGCACTCTAATTTTGGCCTGTTCTTCGCTTCCACTGGAGAGGAAGCTCTGAGGGAGAAGCAAGCCTTCCAGCCCTTCTTGAGATAACAAACTGAAGTGTTGAGCAAGAAATTAACTCTCTTTCCCCAAGGCTTAATCCAGAAACTGTTACCAAAAACAACTGCAATAGACCATGTGCAAAAAGAGTAAGCCTGGGATGTAAACAGAGGCAGGTTAATGTGGTCATTTTACCCACAGTCCATCTATTGAACAAGAAAGGATAATGACAACAAAATGGACCCTAAATAGTTGAAATTCTTCTCTCTTCCCACAGAGTGTCACCCTTGCTCCATGTGTTTCCATAGCCTGCTCAATCAAAAACTCTAGGTCATGGATATATGTTGTACTCGAATAGAATTTACCTCAGATCCTGCATTGCTTGAAGGATTCCCCTACGATCTGTTCTGGAGACTTGGAACAAGCCCAAGTCTCTTTGACTCATTTCATCCTCCTGCCTGGGGCTCTAATTTACTCCTGGCCTCTCCCATCTCTATGGCCTCCTTTGGCTCCCCCATCTCTGCCTGTTCTTCTGTCTCCTCCCATTTTCTCCCTATGTCATGTCCATAACATTTTTTTCCCCAGATCAGCAATTGGTCATGTGTCTGTGAATGATAGCCAGGTTTGGGGACTTAGAAGGAGAGAGGGCACAGGCCAACCATGAGGAATGTGCGAGTTCCTGTAATCCTGGCAATCAGAGAATAAGCCCCAGTATAAACTTGCTCACTGACTGGAGGGTAAGAGCCACCCTTGGAACAGGCACATATGGGAATGTAGAGAATCCTGGGTTTCACTAACTCCAACTAAGAGTTCTGAGAAGTGAAAAGTAGTGAATATATTCTTTTTGGATAGATACACAAGAACCACAGTCTGGTTCTCCTGCCCCAGCACCAATAGGTACTCCCACCCAACTTGCCATGCCTCTTAATGTTATCATCCCAACCCTTCATCTCCTCAAACTGGGCCCAGCTTCCTGCTCATGAAAGATGATTAGCTGACATGTTCATATCAAGAACACCTAATTTCTCTCTCCCTCCCCTTCACCACTTCCCTTTCAACCTGCCAACCCCCATCAATAGAAAAATGGCAGAACAACTTTTCTTGCTGTCCTCAAACCCTCAGGATTCATTTTGGAAGTGAACTTCACAGCAGCAATATGTGGAACAATGTATAATTTTTAGCTTAGTAGACAGCAAAAAATATAATATATATAATAGATTTATATAATTATGTTTAAATACCTATAAAGAATTAATAACTAACCTCATTATTACTAAAGGAGACTACACGAAAGAAAGGGAGCCAGTTTAGAGTAGATGAGCCCTGAAAGATGGCAATCCATTCAAAATGGGTGTTAACAGAGTGTCCCTGGCAACTTCTCTTCTAGTATTGGTTTACAAGTTGGGTGGGGCTGAATAGTTGGCGGGGTGCAGAGCGGGGAGTAGGGCAAGAGTTGAGGATGGGTTGAATAGAATATAAATGGGGGAGGAGGGTCCTTGTATATCTATCATATTTCTCCTTCCACTTTTAATCAACTGCCTCTTTGAAGAAACTTTTGCCTGTGATTCTTCCCTACTTGGGCTACTTGATGCAACAGTTGGCACCTATAAACATTCTCCTGCATGTCTATAAGATCCTCATGCTCTTCCTCCTTCCTTCATTTCACAACATTTCTTCTTCATTCACCTTTTGTTTTCTGTTATGGAGGCCTCTCTTTCTTCCTGCCTCCAGGGCAGTGGAAGGAGGGGCTTGATCCCACAGTTACTGATTTTCTTCAGCCTTGGGGTCTCGGCAGGTGCATTCATCCAGGTCACAGTCAGCAGCAAATGGAATGACCTAGGGGAAATCAAAGAGAAGTTGAAATAACCCATTTTCTTGCCAAGCTTCATACTTTTCAACCAGCTTCTGCTTTTCTCACTTGGTCCCAGAGGAAGTGTGGGATTACTGTTAATATCACAGAACTGAAACTAACACTCAGTTCTTTCACTTACACATCATGTCTCTTTGAGCAAGGTAAATCTTCCTTGCTTCACTTTGTGTGTGTGTGTGTGTGTGTGTGTGTATACACACATACATACAGTGGAAGGACAACAGTAACTACCCCAGAGGGTGTTAGTGTGATTTAAATAAAATGATGGATATAAAACACACATTTCCAGGCATCTATAACACCTGTCACTACTACTTCTAATATAATCACTAATGTCAAGAACCACTGCTAATGTTTTTGTTGTCATTATCCTCTTCACAAAATCCCTGTAAAGTAGATAAGATGGATGTTAGCATTTTCTTTTTATAGGGAAGGCCAAGAGAGATTGAATGACTTAACTTAAGGTCATAACACTATCTGGAAAACCAAGGCTCTACAGCCTAGCTCTATGACTCCTACTTCTTGGTGTTCTTGGAGCCATACGATCATCTTTGCCATCTTATAAGCATGAGGTTTGCCCATCTTGAACCCAGGATGTACTCTGACTTGGTGAAACAATGCATCTCTCTACCCATTGTCTGTGGCTGGATTGCCTTCTTGCTATATAATTATCCCTACTCTGCACCAAAAATGATCCAGCAAAAGTTATTCTCTACTTGTTCGCACTACAGCACCAACAGACAAATATACTTTTTGAGTGTCCATAACTAGCTTCAGAGAGAATTGGGCATTTTGAGAGATATGATGTAAAAAGTTTTGGCAAGGATTCTACCCTTTGGGCATGGACAATCTAGTGAGGTGAAAATAGATAGGCATAGCATTTAATCGTCCAAGCACACTGAAAAGATGGGCTTGGTGACTGGGCAAGGCAGTTGGAAAATGGGTGGTATTATTTGGGGAAATTTTCCAGCATATTTTCACATGTGAGATAAAATGTGATTTACAGGAATAAAGTGCTTTTTCTTTTTTTTTAAGATTTTATTTATTTATTTATTTGCAAGAGAGAGAGTAAGGGGAAGGGGCAAAAAGACAGAGAGAGAAAATGTCAATAGAATGCTTAGCATGGAGCCAATGTAGGGCTCAAACTCACAACCCTGAGATCATGATCTGAGCTGAAATCAAGAGTTGGATAGTCAACAAACTGAGCCACCCAGGTGCCCCATGAAGTGCCTTTTCAATCCTGATTCTAGTATATGCTGGCTATAGGCACTGAAATCCATTAAAGACAAACCCTGGATTTACTGAGTGTGAGATGGAGATGAGGCTAGAATTGCTTGCTTTCTTCTGAAGTGGTCATATTTTCCTGTGTAGAGATGGGATCCATGACCAGTTACCGTCTGTAAATGAGAACAATAACTAGTTGACATGATTTCTGACCTGTTTTCCAAGTTCTTGATCTGTTTCTTTTGGTTTGGGATTTATTAATTTTTAGAGCAAAAGAGGGCCAAATTGAACAGTGATCTGATAAGCCCCTGAGCATTCTGCATTAAATAAGTTAATTCATCTAAGTGGTGAGAACAGTGTCCAGCATATACTGAACAGTGAGTCATATCAGCCATTAGGTGCCATAGTATTCAAGTCTGTAGAGGAGATCACATAGGTGTGACTTATTGTGAAGACATGTACAAGGAAAGAAATACTATCTCTTGCATATTTCTGATTCATCAAATTGGCCAGCTAGCAACAAGTATCTTTGGAGCACTTGGCTTTTTATCCATATTAGAGCAAAATTTCAACCTATTCAATTTCACAGGTTTAGCTTGAGTGTATCTGTCAATTTAATAGAGCCCAGAGAAATAGAGATAAAAGGAACTGAGAAAAAGATTACTGCTCAGGATATGGTCTAGGGAGTGCTCCAAGTAGCTTGTGGTAGCCATTCAACATAAACTTGAAATATGCTTATAATATACTACATAGGATTATTAATTTAATTATGAAGATTAATAATAATCAGATGTCACTTCATTGGTAATTGTGCCTCCCCAGGGGGAAGAGGCCATAATTCTCTGCCAACAGAGGTGTATCCTGGACAATGATAAGCAGATGTGAGTCTTTGAGGAGCAAAAGCCATGGCTTTTCTGAAGGAGTTCCAGGACCAACTACTAGAGGACTAGTGTTTTCTAACAACCTCACCTAAAATCACTGCCTTTAATCCTGTCACCATAGAAGTGTCAATGTTTATTCATTATAAATCCCTCTTGACTACAGAGTAAAAATGATGCAGAATGAAGGAGAACCAGCCAAAGCCACTGCCTCTATTTCTGGAGCCCCTGCCCTGCCTGTTACCCACAGGTATGCTCACTTACCTTCTTGGAGGAGAGCGTGGAAGAGCAGCAGTCTCCCCCATCATAGTGGCAGTAGGCCCGGTTGTTGATGGTATCACACCATCCATCTGCTTGGAAAGGCTGGTGAGGACATGAGAAGTCAGTGTCTAAGAACAGTTTCACTGGGCTTTGCGCTACTCTCCTGCCCATCCCCACCATAATCCATGAAACTCAAGAGATATTAGGGGAGAGCACCCAAGGGGCAGGATACAAACTGACCTAACATTCTCAAAAAGTTGAGAAGTCTCAAGACCATTAGACTCAAGGATTTGTCAAATTTCACCTGCAACACCTGCTTTTGACCAATTCTAGGGTCCAGAATGGTTCATTTAAACCCCTTGGTCAACTTTTCACCTTCTTGTAATAATAGGTCTTTATATAAAGTAGGTTACCAAATATTTTCACACATTTTAACTCTGTTGATCCTCAGGAAAAGCCTGTGCTACAGGCAAGGTTAGCTTTAATGGAGATGCATAGAAATGACAAAAACTGCCCTGGGTCGCATAGCTAGGGTCAAGCAGACTTTGGGATTAGAAGTCATGTATCTTGACTTTCTGCTGCCTCTCCTGAATTAAGAATCATAATTTCCACCCCTTCTCCTGGTACTTGTATTCAGGGACCCTGGTAGTCCTGGCATGCTATGAAGACTCAAATTTGTCTGTCCAGAATGCAGGGGTCCTAGGGTTTGGGACACCAGTGTTGGAACAGAAATAGTCTCACATGGGGCGCCTGGGTGGCTCAGTCGTTAAGCGTCTGCCTTCGGCTCAGGTCATGATCCCAGGGTCCTGGGATCGAGTCCCACATCGGGCTCCCTGCTTGGCAGGAAGCCTGCTTCTCGCTCGGCAGGAAGCCTGCTTCTCGCTCTCCCACTCCCCCTGCTTGTGTTCCTGCTCTCGCTATCTCTCTCTCTGTCAAATAAATAAATAAAATCTTAAAAAAAAAAAAAAAGAAATAGTCTCACATGTACAGCTACCTAATGCACAGCAGCTAGACACAGGGTGAGAGCAGAGGAAGCTAAACTGTTTCCATTCATTCCTGTTACTGCTACAAGTTAACAGAAACCAAAATGGGAAAGGGGTCCAGCCAAACCAGAGTTTATGGAGTGTTTCTCCCCAAAAGGGAATGTATGATAAGAACAGCAACAAGCGGTTAAAAAATAGCTCAGAAGCCCAATGCATTGTTTCCCTAGAACCACTCCTGGAGAAAAACAGTGTCCCACAGCATCCTGGAGGGCATACCAGCCAGCCCACCTACTCAATCACATTGGCCGCTTCCCATCCTGAGTGGATACCCAATTGCAAAGCCTCAGGAAACGTCTTGTGGCAAAACTCTTTGGACCACAAGACAGTCAGTAGACTTTTGAGTTCTGAGGTCACCCTCCAGCTTTGCATGTTTAAATCACTCTCTCCCCCCACCCTCCTTAAATGTCAAATAGAGGGACTGTTCCCTATTTCACTGTGCTTTGATTAGATAGATAGATCACTAAGCTAAAAAAAAAAAGGCCATTAAATAATTTTCAGCAATTGAATTACATCAGAACGAGCTCATCCAAATTATTACTTCAATGTTTTGATTTATTCTATGGGGTCCTGAGGTCATTTGAACATCATTCCAGATATATACCAGGATTCCAGTCACTGAAAAGTTGCTACTTGTGGGGTGGAACTCAACAGCTGTTCCACAGCTGTACGGCAAAGGCAGTTGAGAGCAGGAAGTAAAAATGAATTTTGTTTTCAACACAGGCCTCACTGGGATAGACGACAGAGATTTTGGGATGTGCATTTGTCTTTAACACCGGAGTGAGTGACTCTGGCTCTGCAGAACTGGGAATAACTATACAATCAGGACTTGGGGCTACAATTGCAGCCCAATAATAGGAGTCAAAATACAGCTAGCTACATCCTTAACATCCATAAATGCTCTCAGGTCCTCCCAGGAGGACCAGATACATCTACTGACATCCACCCCCCCACCCCCCACCGAGTTTTCTTTCTTCTTTTTCAAGTGTTTGGTGGAGTATATTTCCCTCCTCTAACACTGCATCTGTTACTTTTTCTCCAACCCTGACTGACTCATTGGCAAAACTGAATCTGTTCCTTCTTTATTTTTCATGTTATTGCCTATAAAAACCCAAAGAGCACCCAAAATACTTCGCTTAAGTGTAAAAAGTATGGTCTTCAGTATGGAGGATTAAAGTGAGAGCTTCCTTTTCGTAAGAACAACTTAAACTTTTGAATGGATTAATAAAGAATCCAGGGGGATCTTTGTTTCCAAAGTCTGCCCCAAGGATGGCTTCTCATCTTAGGAACACTAGGGAAGATAGGTTGAAAAGAACAGAAATGGTCTAGGTGACCTTCTCCAGCTCCCAAGGGGCATCTACTGCAAGAGCCTGAACATGATTTCTAGAAACTGCTTCTTTTCTGCTCTTAAAGTGTCATCTGGGAAGAAAAGGGAATTTATAAAAAGGGGCAGAAAACTGGAGAAAAGGTTGGAAAGACCCGAGTGTTTAATTTACTATATACCTATTAGAATTAATTGTTCCTCCCCCAACCTGCCAAAAACAAATACTCCACCCTAAACAAACAGAGTCTCCTATGGCAACATGTGCCTGGGAAACTTGAGAGCTTGAGTCCAAAGTTACAATGGAAAAAATAGGAAGGGAAAAACGACTAATTGATCCAAAGTGTTTAAAGCATCTGAAGACTGAACGTAGATTAGATCAAAATCCCCATAACGGAAAGGTGTCGGCCTGGGGACATCACTCCTGCTGCAGGAAACTTCCCCCAAGGGGGGGTGCAAGGTTTCTCTGCACAGTGTGTCCAGAGGTGAATTTTTACTCCCCATACATATACCTCACTTATCCCGTAACATCTGTAAACAGAGTGCGTCATATAAGTGAGTTTTTCAAATACCTGTAGCCTATTTCTTGAGGAGACATGTTTTCATTTTCCATTTTAACCATTTTGATAAAAGAAAAAAAACATATAATATTCCTCTTATCCTGCCTTTTAATAAGTAATGGAATACAAAGTCATCAACATGAACATTTTTCATTTTCATTTACAGGAAGACTCTCTGTATTGGGCTACTTACCCTTTCATTAAGTGAGCCTTCTCCAAAACACACACACACACACACACACACACTTTTCATGAGTCAAGCTTCTTAAAATTATACCTGAAGTCAATACCTAGATCTGAGAGAGGCTAGGTTTCTCTTCTCATGATGCATGATCTTGATGATATCTATGGCCAGCTAGCTGTGTTCCAGGCAGATGAGATAGCCGTATAAATGGCTGTGGGTCAGTGATGAAATCTGAAGAAGGGCTATCAGCCCATATGCCTATATGACTATGGAAACTGTACAACTTTGGAAACTTCTCAAAGTAGAGATAATTTCTTCTTTATGTTATCTATATTCTTTATGTTATTTTCTGTTTAAGGTTGTTCTGGAAAGTTAGGCATGGAGATGGTGGCCCTATCTGTTGTCTATGGATATAGTCATTCATTCAGTCATTCAATATCCTTTATTACAAACCTCTATGTGCCAGGCATTGTTATGGGGATACAAAGATAAATAAAACACAGTTCCAGCCCTTGAGAAAATCCACTGTAAACAAGTATAGCTTATGATGATAAGTGCTAGCATAGGGATGAGGACAGAAGTGCCTAAGCCAGATTTTGGTTGGGGAGATTTGTAAGGGCTTTCAGGGGCTGGCTCTGCTACATCTAGCCTCTAGGAGGAGAGGTTAGGACTGGATGATTCAGAGGGGAAGCCTGAAAAAACTTGTAAGGGAGAAAAAGGGTGAAAATAGAGAGCCAGGTGGTCCCAGACTGCCTATCACAGGGCCCACCCCGAGGAAGAGCTCCACAAACATTGACTGATTAGGTGATAACACTTCTATTACTTCAATTACATTAAGAACATTTTTCTTCTACAGCTTGCAACAGAACTCATGACCACACTGATGTTTTAGAAAGGTTAGTTTTGAACTTTAGATGTTCTGCTCTGATGACCTACAGATTGGGATCTTAGCCAAAAGTGACTATCTCCCTATAGGGCACAGGGCAGAATCCTGATCTTGATCCTTCATCTTGATCTTCATCTCCTTCAGACCAGGAGAAGATGCTAATCACATTTGTGCCTAATGCTCAACATGGTTTTCTTTCTCCCACATCATTTCCCATCAAAACTCTCTAGTTACATGAATGACAAATCAGACCTACATCCATTTCTTCTTGATGAGGCTGCATCAGGTCCCAAAGATGCCCTTTCCCAGAGAAGTTGTGGTGTCAGGCCCAGTGGAGGCCTTGCAGTAAATGGAAACTCTTATAAATA